ACCTCAATGTCCCTCTTGACCTGAGGGACCCAGAATTGAGCACACTACTCAAGGTGTGGCCTCACCAATGCCAAGTGCAGGGGCAGAATCACCTCCCTGGTCCTGCTGACCACATTGTTCCTGATCCAGGCCAGGATGCCATTGGCTCTCTTGGCCACCTGAGCACACTACTGGCTCATGTTCAGCTTTCTATCTCTCCAAACTCCCTGGTCCCTTTCTGCCTGGTGCTCTCCAGCCACTCTGTCCCCAGCCTCGAGCACTGCATGGGATTGGTATGGCCAAAGTCCTGACCTACATCTCCCACTGGTCCCTCTGGGTGGCCACAGCAGCATGGAGCGAGTGGTTTAGAGTTGCCCAGGAGCTGTGGGGTTTGCTCAGGACCCCAAAGAGGGACCTAAGAGCAGCACAAGCTGTGCAGGAGGAGCTCTCTGTGCTGGACCAGCACAGCCAGACATCCCACACAGCTTCAGGAGGTACATTGACACTAACTCCACCAGGCACCTTCCGTGCTCTCCTTCATGAGCCAGGTGTTTGGTTTCTGCCAAAAAAAAAAAAAAATGTCATAAGGGATAAAGGGTAGTGAGAAAGCTGCCAGCAAGGCAGTGGCAGTGCTGTCACAAGGAGACATGGTTCTTGCAGGAGTGTGTGGGCTTTCTGCTCGACCTCACCTGTGGGTGCAAATGCCCTCCACAACATGCCAGAGGAAGAGACACCACACCAGCACTCTCTTACATGAACAGCCCTACAGGGACACCAAGCTTGGCTGTTGGACTCCAAACTTTAGCCTACTTGTGTAATCAGGGTCAGATACTAAGATAGAGAAAGGATGGATCTTATCATACCCAAACCTGTTTGTCCTTAGGTACATTTTGAGGTGTGAAGTAACACCATAGACTAATGGCAGCGTGAGGAACCCTGTGACTGCTTTTCTGTCCTTTCGTCAGGGTCTGAGGTTTGATATCTGTCATCAGCATAGGAACCTTCCTGGGAAGGTTTCTAGTACTGGTATATCCAGGTAGAAGCCTTTATGTTTTGCCAGCCCACAGGACCTCATAGCTTTTCAGAGGTATAAATTGCCAGGGACAGTCCAAAACTCCTACTTCAGTACCTGTTGCACAAACACTTCCAATCCTAAATGTCCAAGGTGCAAAAAATCAAATACCTCCAGTTTAGAAAATTAATTTCTGAAAAAAAAATAATAGAAGGTAAAGCTGGGCTTTGTGTGTGGTGGTCTCCCCAGTACAAAGCAGACATTGGCAAACTGGGGCAAGCCCAGTGGAGGGCAGCTGGGGTGCCCAGGAGGCTGAGAGCTGGACTTGCTTTGGGTGGAGAAGCAGGTGCTGAAGGGCAGAAGGAATCCAATGTTTTTTTTCAGGTTGTCTTAAGGCAAATTCTGTTTAGGTGTAAGGCAAGACATCATCATGAGGGTGCTCAAATGCTGACACATGTGGCTGGATGAACGTACCATAGCTTTGATGTTGACTGGCCTGGACTAGGAAACTGGGCTAGTGGCCTCCAGAAGTCCTTGCTAACCCAAGTTACTCTGAAATGGGATTAATTCAAATCTAAACACTTCCCAGTTGATACTGTATCTGGAAGACTGGAGAAGAGCAGCACCAGAAGCAAAGGCTGGCTTGTGGCCAGCTCTGCTGCCCACCAGATGCGCTCCCCAGCCAGCCAGTCCGCAGGCTGTATCCTTTCAAGGTTTTATTCTGCCCCAGAT